GTTTTGTGATTCCTGCCCACCCTCCTTCCAGGATATCCCCATTTACCTAAGCATCCTGTAATTATGCCAAAGTTTTAATTGTTTAAGTCTAATGAAAACTTCATGTGGGACTTTGTGTGTCATACTTGTCACTTGTGTCCAGTCCGTAGGAGAGACTGGCACAAAGCAGCCCCTCTAGTATTTGTTGAACGAATGGATATATTTTAATACAAAGGAGATGGTGACCTTGGTGTGCATGTGTGAAGGGAGCAAGTAGAGTGGCCCAGGGGACCAAGCGACCATACCAACTCCTTAATGTACAAGGTTGGTCTCGGGCTATTTTTAGAGTGGATTTGGTGGATGTTCTTTGAGAAATGAACTCCCTAAGGTTCCTCCTGTCTCTAATTTTATAATTCTATTTCAAAACCTTTCCTACCAACTCATTCTGTTGCTTAAACCTCTGAATAAGCCCTGTGTTGTGATTTCCCTAGAATGTTCTTGCCTAACCGTCTTTAGCCAACGTCAGCTGACATTACAAAGGGAATTCGTGCGTTGCTCAGACTTTAGGAAGTTGTTTCCCTCAATGTTCTCCTGTTTCTTAAGTTTCAAGGCAGCAAGTAAAGATGGACTTTAGAAGAAGTCTCAGTTAATCAGTCTGCTTTAAAATAAAAGCAATTCCGAAGGCAGTCTTAAGCAATCTTCCCTTGGGTTTAGTGGTGGTGAGCGCCTTTCGCGGCTCACTCAGATGTAGCAGTAGTGTGGCTCTGGACAAAGAGCAGGGATTGAGGTGCTGAGGGACCTCAGACTCAGCCTTGGCTCTGCTGTTGACCCAGCGAGTAGCCAGAGGTGGTCCCTTTCCCTTGCATGACTCCATTTCCTGGTTTGTAAGACAGAGATAATGCCTGTCTTTCGGGGAGAGTATGAAAACCACACAATAACATGGAAAAGTGCTTTATAGGGGGCAGAGTCAGGCTTAAGCGAGTTGTTTCTTCTGCTGCATGATGGCTGTTTAAATGTCAGGGTTCTCATCCATGCCGGTGGCTCTTATCAGAAGTTGCTACTTAGTAAATGTTGACTAATGCAGAAATATTTGCAGGCCACCCCTCTGGCCCAGAGGGATCTGCTTTTGTGGTGATGGAGACATTATCTCCCTTGTAATCTTGCCATATGCTTTGACGATAGGTCAGGAAGGAAGGAAGGTGAGGCTGAAGTGTGTGTGGTTGGACGGGCAGTGGCCAGGTATGTGGTCAGGAGGGAAGGAAGAGATGTATAAAAAGAAGGTGCATGAGGACAGAAAGTTTTTGTTTTGCTCACTGCCCTGTCCCTGGTGCTTTGACTCATGCCTTGTCCATAGAATCTATGAATTGAACATTAGCCAAGTGAAGTCTATGGAATGGTACTGTATTTGCTCCATCGGTGACTACACTCTTATTTTACTCAGGGTCAGTAGGCAAATGAAACTACCCCACATAGATATTTTAAAGCCTGTTTATTAACATACCCTGATAAAAGATTATTTGTTCATCAGATATTTTTATGGAACATACAGCCTGTGCAGGGAAGCATGCTGGACACCATGAGGACACACGTATGTCTTCTGGGAATTTACTAGTAAACTGAGCAGTATAGGAAGCACCAGGAGAAAGGACTGTAAACAGGAATCAGGGGAGACTTTGTGAAGGAAGTGGCCTTTGAGTTGAGCCTCAAAGATAGTCAGAATTCCATCAGCCATGGCCAATATGTTACAGTCGCAACTTAAAGCTTTGTGTGGGGGGGTGTGTTTTAATTCAAATGTTAAGTCAGATCTTCTCTTCGGACAGGGTGATGTCAGAGTTTGATACTCCTCAGTGGGGTTGCTGGAATCTTGCATGGCTTATAGAGGCCTGGGGACCAGTGCTGCTGGCACGTCTGCCTCTTCCTGGGTGGGCTGGCTGAGGCTGGAAGGAAGCAGCAGCCAAGAGGGAAGGGTGCAGTGAGAATGCCTTCTTTTGAATGTGACCCCAACATTCACACTGACAAGTTGGGGAGGGTAGAATGAGCAAGTGGACTCCAACTAGGAGTTTTGTATTGCTTTCAGGCTTTTAACATGTCTGAAGATACCATAAAAATGGGAGGTTGTCTTTAGACTGAAATTCCAATGAGAAATTGGTAGTCACGGGGCGTCCTGGAGATTAACTGTTAGGAACAGTGGAGATGGAGGATTAGACAATGCTATGTGGGCATGCCAGGTATCTCCAAAGAAAACCCAAGATGAGAAAATCATAACCTACAAAGTATATTCACTGTGGGGTGACTGTTAGGTCACTTAGTGAAGATTCACTAAAAGGTAATTGTTTGGCAAATATTTGAGTGCACTCTGTGTAGGGAACCACGCTAGACGTGAAGGAGACATAAAGATTAAGCAACAGACTTGTTTCCTCTAAAAAATCCCCAGTTTGGAGAGGGAGATGTGACCCAGTTACAGTGGGGGCCGCCATGACGAGTGATGTGCTAAAACGTGGACCAATGTGCTGAGGGGAGGGGATGGATTCTGACTTCGAGATCCACAGAATTTTGCTTGAGGGGATGCAGAAATGTCACACACAGCTGGGAGAATGGCTTTCCAGGCAGAGAGATGGTGGAGAACAGAAGAACTCAAACTTGAAAGGGAGGGGTGTGAGCCTGGGATGTGGTGCCACAGGGAAATGGGGGCTTCATATAGTGGAGGAGAGGGAGTATGTTCTATTTTAGAACTTTGTTCTGTAGGAAATGGGGGCTCCATGAAAGCTTTGGAGAGAGACTATTGTCAGCAGGACTCTGTGTTGGGAAGATGCTTCTGGTGACAGTGAGGAGAATGGCTGGAGAAGGAGTGGTGGCTAGGGGGCTGTTTGAGGGCTGTTGCAAGAATTCAAGGGGAGGTATGTCAAAGGCCTGGACTCTTGGAGTGGAGGTGTAGAGGAGAGTTGTTTGAGAGCTTTGGTACTTGTCCTAAATCTGAGTCCTCTCTTCTAAAGTTGAGATCAGATTCAACTTGTTAAGAAAAAGAAGATGATTTTGACAAATACAAATCTTGGTTGACCCCTGTTGATGGTCTGGGATGCCATCTCTCTGTTCTAAGGAATAAAGCCACAAGGCAAACTTGGGAGTCGTAGGATGAGGGTATGGGGAAAAGGACAGGGTATGGGAACTCCTGCTCCTTTGGCCCTACTTTTGTTGAAGACCAGCCTGTCCCAGCACTCTTCCGGCCTCTGCTGCTGGTTCTTTTTCTTCATCATCCATTAACAAAGACATTTCCCCAAGTTCTTCTGGACCTGTTTCCTCCATCCCATCCAAATATTTCTAGCCCTGAGGTTTCTGCTCTTCACTTGGGCAAATGGCCTCTCAGCCTGTTTGCTCAAAGGTAAAGTGGGATAGATTGTGTACCTGCCATAGAGAGTCATGAGACTTCAATGAAACGCTGCATAGGAAATGCTGCTTATGGCCTTGAAGAAAAATAAATGCTCAGTAAATAAGCATCTGGTACATATTTCCATGCTTATGGTACTGTCATTTTTATATTGATGTAAATGTAATCTTCCGTTTCTTTTGAGTTCTTTGAGGGTTTGGTATTATTTTGACTGATTGCTTGATTGGTTGGTTGGTTGGTTAGTGGGGGGAGGTAATTAGGTTTTTTTGATTTTGGAAGAGGTGCTGGGATTGAACCCATGACCTTGTGTGTGTTAGGCATGAGCTCTACCACTTGAGCTATACCCTCCCCTGGTATCATTTTTAGATCTGAAGCATTTAGCATGGTCCTTGCCCAGTAAGAGTTTAGATTGAGATCTTAATCCCTTTTGTCTGCCAAATTGATATTTTGGATGCCTCACCAGTAGGCATGAGATGGGCCTTTCTTAGGGATGGAGGGGTGACCTTCACATCCTTATCTCTTCTGCTTGGGACCAGGGTTCTCCTTTAGGAAACGCTGCCTGGGGACCTACATGCCTGCCCCATGTGATCAGAGCCTTGCTGCTCACACACATTGTCTTCATTAGACGAGTAGTCTGCCAAATGAGAAACCAAATTTGTTTTATGACCATCAGAAATAAAGTTCAGGACTGTAGAGGGAAAAGGAGTCCTTTTTATGAGCAAGGAGTGTTGTCATGTAAATAGACAGCGAAGAGTTGGCTGGTGTGACCGTTGGCTGCTGTGGGGTACTTGAGGCTGCGGGCGGAGGAAGTGCAGTCAGGAAATGGGGAGGCCCCGCGTTCTCTACAGAAAGGCAGGGCTGAAGTGTGGCAGTTTATAAATCAGGCTTGTTTTGGAGTAAAAAGTGTGGGCTTGAAAACTCTGCTCACTAGCTGTTTTCATGGCTTTTTTCTTTTGGATACCTGTGGACCAGGAAAGTTAGCCTTGTAAAGGCCAGGAAACAAGCAAGGGATGAATTTTAGTGACTTTGTCATCTGTAAAATAGGATTTGGGTTGGGTGAGAAGCCTTCATTCCCTCTAGGAATGGGAAAGCACGGGTACTTACAGATTCTTCGTTCAACCCCAGAATTTCTGGGATGGTCCAAGCAGAGCCATTGGGCCAATTCTGCAGGCTTGTTGAGGAAAATTGTTGCCATAGATTATGCTCTAATTAGTTTGAGTCTATCTAAATCCTATGGCATCATGTCTATGAAATCTGATCGCAAGGGAAGTGGGTACAGCTCAGTGGTAGAGTGCCTGCTCACATGCACAAGGTCGTGAGTTCAACCCCCAGTACCTCCATTAAAAGAGATAGACAGACAGACGACTCTAGTTACCTCTCCTACAAATTTTTTTAAATCTGATTGCTATTCTTCTATTATTTAATGTCATCGTATACTCCAATATTGCATTTTTTTGCTAGAAATAGTATAACATTGTCAAATACAAAGGCAAATCTCTTCCTGTGCTGGGTGTCTCAATACCCCCACCTCTCAGTGCTTGGTGTTGAGCTGTCTATGAGTGTTTCTTAGCTGATTGTCTCACTATTTGATGGACGCAGCCTTTATAAGTGATGTGATGTTATCCTCTATTTCTAGCTATTGTGGACGATGAAAGACTCTCCGCAGAGGAGATGGATGAGAGGAGGCGGCAGAATATTGCTTATGAATATTTGTGCCACCTGGAGGAAGCCAAAAGGTAAGACTCAGACTTAGCCTATTTGTGTACCTTCTCTTGGATATGAGATCTGGGGTTTTGTGTTGTTAATAACTCGTGTGCAATCTTGTTGAGAGTAAGGGAGAAGAACCACCTGTGCTTTGTAAATGGCAGAATTGAGAAAACGTTGCTACCACAGCCAAGGTCAAAGCACTAAGGAGGCAGCTGTTCCTTTTTCTTCCCCCAGCCTCCCAGGAAATCCCGAGGCAAACGGCGGATTATTTCAAAATTTCTCATCTCACTGGCTTGGATGTGGAGGAGCAGCAGCGACTTAAACACAACTTCCTTTTCCTCCTGAGCTTCCTCATATCTTTCTCCCAATCCTCCCCCAATGATTATAATTATTACTATTATTTTAAATTAATATATAATTATGTATTCCTAAGTGCTAAGTAGAAAAACAGCTTTTTGGACTGAAGTCCATTGTTCCCTAAGTTGGAGAGTGGGTTTATGACAGCAATCTCTTTTTTAACCCATGGGTGTGTGTCCACTTCGGATACTTGTCTCTAAAATCACATTGATCCTTTTAGGCTTTTTAGATTACAAGTAAGTTTACATTCTCCAAGGAGAAAGTGAAGATAAAGTACTTGCTCTCGGGCCTCTTCGGTATCAGGGAAATCAGAACTTTGCCCTTCACTGGGTTAGTACGTCAGCGCCCCTGGGCCAGGAGTTAGATTCTGATTTACTGCTTTGTGCTGTGATCAAGCGACAGTGCTGTTCCGTGGAGAGGTACGTTGGCTCGCTTATCTATACAGAAAGCAAACATTGAGTTAATAGTCAGTGGCATTCATTATCTCCGATTTCTGGTAAATAGTGACCTACAGAGCTAGAAGAATGAGGGTTTTAATCAGTGTTTTTTTAGAACATTCGGTGACACATGCCCTAATTTGGCCTCAAAATTGCTTATAAGAGGGTTTTCCAGGGTTGTTTAATGTTTTAACAGTGTCTTGTAACTCTAAGCTCTAAAGGCTAAGTTTTGAAGGTTATTAAACATGGCTGTGAAGTCGATAGGTGGCAGGTCACTGAAGATTGACTATCAGTCTAAGATGTTAAAAACATGCTTTTAGTCAAATTGTTGCTAAAGTTAGTTAAGGGGAGTGATTCATAGACATCCAAAACAAGCATGCTTCCAATGAAAACGTTTAAGCAAAGTTAGTGCAGACTTCCTCCCGACACACCCTTTACGTATTGTTTTTTGCCTCCTGGTTTTTAGAAGCGGGGAGCAGTGTCACACAGAGGAGAGGGTGTGAGATGGGGAGTCACTGGGGTGAATTTCCTGATCTCAACTAAAATAAAAAAGGTACAAGTTTTCTGTAGACTATAATGCTGATCAAGTGTATGGTGATAACCTAAGCATAGTTTTCTTCTGAATGGATGAAAGTTGTATCAAGATAGCTTGGGAGCTTGTCATCGTCTTTGGTGTTGTCAAAATTCTGTAGTTGAATTTTGTTTCAAGAATCAACATGACACAACACTGTAAACTGACTATACTTTAATAAAATATGTATATACAAATAAAACAAATTTTAAAAAGGAATAATAGAAACATGTCGCAGAATTTTGAAGGAAAAACAAAAACAAAGAGTCAGCATAACAATTAACCCATGCTCTTGGAAGAAAGCTTCCTTAGGAATCTCAGAAATAGTTTCATTGAAAGAAAAGACTGCAAAATAGACAGTTGTTTTTTTTTTCTCTTAGATGGTTTTCATAAATTTATTTTCCAAGAAGAGATTAGATATAATATGTATTTATGAAACTTTTATTAAGATCTGAACATTTCTTGTGACTTTCAGGGAAGCTGATTTTTGGTCATAGAGTATGTAAAAATTTTATGGCTGTTAATAGAGATGTGTGCTGTGATTTCAGAAAGCATAGTATACAGAATTCTGATGGTCCCGAACTCAAGAAATAAATGAATGGGCGAATCGGTCTCTGTTCAAAAAGTTACTGATTTAAGAGGGTATATTGCCTGATTGTTTTACAATGTTAATGCCTTAGGAATTCATCATATTGGGTTTGTTATAGTGCATGCATGTGCATGTGTTCATGTGAGTGTAGTTTCTCTAGAATATTGAGTTTCTATTAAATGGTACACTTAGAATGTGTAAGTTTAGCTGGAAACTATTTCTTGTTTGTTTCAGTTGAACTGATTTTAGTGCATTTTAGCCAGAAACATCTTGGGTTCTGTCTTTGTGCCATTTTTTCCTTCCAGAGGTGAGAATTGGAAGGATATCTAGCTTATATGTCCTGTAACTCAGAATTTTAAAAAATTCAGAATTGTTGTAGTCTAGCATACCTTTAATTTTTGTTTTCTTAATTTTAAAATGCTGTGATCATTTGTCTCAGACCATTCACAAGTTCCTTTATTCAGAGGGAGATATCACTATCAATGTTATAGAAATTAAAAAGATGTTGAGGAAATGCTGTGAGCAATTGTACACCAGCAAATTAGCTCACCTAAAGGAAATCTACAGTTTCCTAGAAAGACATCTACTAAAACTGACTCAGGAAGAAATAAAATCTGAATAGACTCACAAGTAAAAAGATTGTTACTTGAAACACTTCTCACTCTTCCAAAAAATAAAAGAGGAGGGAACACTTCCTAACTCTTTCTTTTGAGACCAGTATTACTCTGATACTAAAACCAGACAAAGATACCTTAAAAAAACTATAGACCAACATCCCTTATGAATATAAATACAAAAATCTTCAATGAAACACAAGCAAACTGAGTCCAGCAACATATAAAAAGGATTATATACCAACAAGTGGGATTTATCCCTGGAATGCAAGCTTAATTTAACCTAAAAATCATCCCATTAAGACAATTCAGTGGGAGAAAAATCCAGTTTTTTCAATAAATGTTGCTGAGACAACTGAATATACACATTCATGAAAATGACTCTGGACCCCTACCTCACACCATATTTTAAAAAATCTTAGAATGGTTTGTTAGTCTAAATGTGAGAACCACAACTATAAATCTCTTAGAAGAAGATACAGGAGTATATCTTTGTGACCTTGGGTTAGGCAATGGTTTCTGAGACACCAAAAGCAAAAGCAAAAAAAGAAAAATAGATAAATTAAACATCATACAAATGAAACCTTTTTGATTCAAGGGGATACCATCAAGAAATTGAAAAGACAACCCATGGAATTGGAGAAAATATTTGCAAATCATATATTTGATAAGAGACTTGTATCCAGAATGTATAAAAAACTCTTACAACTCAGCATAAAAAGTAAATAATTTAAACTTTTAAAAAATTTGATTTAAAAATGGACAAAGTTTCTGAATAGACATTTTTCCAAATTAGTTATACAAATGGACCTTAAGAACAGGGCAGGATGCTTAACATCAGTCATTAGGGAAATGCAAATCAAAACCAAAATGAGATACCATTTCATACTAGGATAGCTATAATCAAAAAGACTGATAATAACAAGTGTTTGCAAGGATGTAGAGAAATTGGAATCCTTATACATTGCTGTTTGGATTATAAAATGGTGAAGCTACTTTGTAGCATAGTCTGGAAACTCCTCAAAAAGTTAAATACAGAGTTACCATATAATCCAGTAGTCCCACCTGTAGGTATATCCCCAGGAAAATGGAAACTTATGACTACACAAAAACCTGCACACAGGTTTTGTGTACTGAAGCATTATTCATTAGAGCAAAAAATGGGAACAACTCAAATGTCCATCAGCTGATGAATGGATAAACTGTGTGATATTCCCATATAAGGAAACACACATTATTCAGCTGTAAAAAATATTAGAAAATCAGACTCAACAATGTGTAAAAAGAAGTTTATAATCACAACCAAGTGGGGTTTACCCCATATATGCAAGGCTGACACAACATTTGAAAATCATCATATCAACAGTCTAAATAAGAAAAACCATATGATTGTATCAACAGATGCAGAAAAGGCATTTGACAAAATCCAACATGTTAAAAATTCTTAGGAAACTAGGAATGTAGGAGAACATCTTCAACTTGAGAAAGACTGTTTACAAAAACCATATAGCTGACCTCATACTTAGTGGTGAGAAACTTGAAGCTTTCCCACTAAAATCAGGTACAAGGCGAAGATAGTTCCCCTCACCACTCCTTTTCAATGTTGTGGTGGAAGTTCTAGCTAATGCACTAAAACAAGAAAAGGGAATAAAAGGCATACAGCTTGGAAATAGAGATAAAAACTGTCTTTGTTTACAGATGACTTGATTGACAATGTAGAAAACCTGAAAGAATTAAAAAAAGAAGAAGAAGAAAAAAGCCTGGACCTAATAAACAGTTACAACAAGCTTCCAAGATACAAGGTTCACATACAAGTCAGTTGCTTTCCTATAAACTAGCAATGGACAAGTGAAATTTAAAATTAAAACACAACATCATTTACATTAGTAGCCCCCAAAATGACATACTTAGGTATAAATTTAATAAAATATATACAAGGTCTATGTGAGGATAACTATAAAACTTTGATGAATGAAATTAAAGAAGACTAAATAAACAGAGATATTCCATACTGATGGATAGGAAGACAGTATTGTCAAGATAGTTCTTCCCAAGTTGATCTATAGATTCAATGCAATCCAAATCCAAAATCCCAGAAAGTTATTTTGTGTACATCAACAATGTGATTCAAAAGTTAATATGGAAGGGGGAGGGTGTAGCTCAAGTGGTACAGCACATGCTTAGTATGCACTAGATACTGGATTCAATCCCCAGTACCTCCATTAAAAAAAAAACTAATAATAAAAAAGTAAATAGACCTAATGATCTCTCCAAAAATAAATAAAATTAAAAATTAAAAAAAGAAAGGCTTGTTAAGAGTCAGTTTTAAAAAAAACTTAATATGGAGAAGTGAAAAACCTAGAGTAGCCAACACAATATTGAAGGAGAATAAAGATGGAGGAATGACACTACCCAACTTCAAACTTAATAAAAGTATAGTAATCAAGACAGTGTGGTACTG